AGTCGGACGCTTAACCGACTGCGCCACCCAGGTGCCCCTTTTTACTTATTTTTTGAGAGACAGAATGTGAGCAGGGAGGGGTAGAGAGAGAGGGGGACAGAGGATCAAAAGCAGGCTGCACACTGACAGCGGCGAGCCCGATATGGGGCTGGAACTCACCAACCATTAGATCATGACCTGAGCCAAGTTGGACACTCAACTGACTGAGCCACCCAGGCGCCCCCGCCCCATCCCAATCTTTAAACTCTTGACAACTGGGTATCAAGGGTATTATTATAAGGGACTGTGACTCCTAGGGTGCACTAGCATTGTCTCTAGACAAAATAAGCTATGGCTTGCATATGCATATGAAAGAATTTTAAATACAGGTAAATATTTTCTGCTTAAGAAAATGCAAAGGTATACAAGAGTTACTAAATAAATAGTAAGGTTTTGTCACTGTTTTTCTGAATTAACATAACAAAAGTAGAGTATCAAGAGACACCCGTTTGAATTCATTAAGTTCTAAATGGGCTGATTCTTTTTAAGTTTATTTATTTTGAGAGAGAGAAAGAGAGAATGAGGTAGGGGCAGAGAGAAAAAGAGGTAAAATGCCAAGCAGGCTCTGCACTGTCAGCACAGAGCTCAAACCCATGAACTGTGAGATCATGACCTGAGCCAAAATCAAGAGTCCGATGGTTAACCAACTGAGCCACCCAGGTGCCCTTTAAAGAGACTCTGGTTCTTGAAAAGACGGGAAAAATCAGTGGTTAAAGAATCTGAAGATTTATATCCTGATACTGAGTTATATAATCCTAAATGAATAATTTAACTGTATCCTCAAATGTAAAGTGCAGTGATAACTCTTATCCTATTTCATAGGGTTGTTATAAAAACAAAATGAGATTACAGTCATTAATCAATAACCATAAAATTGACTTGAAAAGCAAAAGATACACAAGTGATCACAACAAAAACTATTAAATAAAAAGAACACAGGGAACCTTCACCTTTTCTATCTGTATTAACTGATATTTTAAATGATCGCATATAAATTGTACAATTAAAAAAACCCAATAATTATAAACATATTTATACATATTTAAAGAAAAACCCTCTATCTCAAATTCATCTTCAAATTTTTTTTTTCAACGTTTATTAATTTTGGGACAGAGAGAGACAGCATGAACGGGGGAGGGGCAGAGAGAGAGGGAGACACAGAATCGGAAATAGGCTCCAGGCTCTGAGCCATCAGCCCAGAGCCTGACGC